AAGCCACAAGCGGCACAGCTCCTTCCGTCCAGTGCATGCCGGGAAGAGGGCAGGGATGTCGGGACGGTGGCGCGGTGAGGGGTGAGGTCCCCACGCTCCAGCTCCGGCACTCAAGGCAGTACTGGGCTCCCAGGGTCCATGGCAGCAGTTAGATGGCTTGGCAGGTTAGCGGGGCCCCAGTCCGATTGTCAGTCAGCACAGGGAGGGGGCGCAGGGCGCTCACCTGCCTGGGCTCCCCAGCAGGAACCTATGGGGACAGAAATGATGCCATCAGCCAGGTCCCCAGCACACCAGTGCCCTAGCAGCTCCAGCCACCCGCACTTACCATTCCCCCCGTGCTGCTACTGCCTCCTTCCGCACCAGTCTCTTCTTGTCATCTAAAGGCCTGGCCAGCGCTCGGATAACTCGGGCCTTGTATGGGAGCAGCTATGGGACAGAAAGGGCTCTTACTGAGAGAGCTGGGTGCTGGCTGCCCCCCAGGAGAAGGTTTAGGACCTCCTTGCCCTGCTACAAGCAGGAGCAGGTAGCAGGCCACTGCATGAGTGCTTACCACTGTTGTAGGCAGGCTGGTAAGCGCGTGGGCACAGCGCAGGGCGGCAATGCGGACAGCCTGGAACAGAGAGGGGTGAGGGCAGCAGAAGGGGCAGGGGTGGAGGAGAAGGGTGTGGGGGGGAAGGAGGGGGCACACGCACCATGGTGGGACTGGACGTGAGGCTGAGGAACTTGGTGACCAGTGTGTCGACGTGCAGGCTCATGATCTGGGGGGCTTCGGGCAGCAGTGGCTGGAGGCAGCTCAGTGTGGAGAGCTGCACCACATGGTCCGAGCAGGACAAGGCCTCAAGCAGGAGGGAAAGCAGCTGCGAGTGGGAGGACACAGGAGACGTGAGTAACCAGCAGCCCTGAACTCTGCACCCACATGGTCCGAGCAGGACAAGGCCTCAAGCAGGAGGGAAAGCAGCTGCGAGTGGGAGGACACAGGAGACGTGAGTAACCAGCAGCCCTGAACTCTGCACTGCCACAGTCACCCCCACGCCGAGGCTGTCT